CAGCAACAGAATCTTCTGGATTTCTCAGGCAGTGGTTTTCAATCTTCTCTGGCCTGTGTTTTCACATAAACCTTTTATCTCTGAGCTCATTCTCAGCAGTATCTTCTTTTTTTTACTACTAACTGTTTCAGTGGCAGTTTAGTAACAGTCTGTTTAACTGCAAGTGCAGAACAACTTTGTAGAATTCAACACATTTTATGAACCACAGATTAAACACAAATGTTCTGTTTTCTTTTTTTACTTCAGATCAGTGTTGAAGTATGTTTCTTTGCTTTATGTTTTGTTTTTTATAATCTTGTTTACTTGAGGATTATGTATGTGGTGTAGGGTTGGACTTGTGTAATTTGTTCATTAAAAAAAGTGTAACCAATCTGTATTACATTTTAAAGTACTGGTTAGTTAAGAATATGTGATGTCTCCCACTTAGAGTATATTCAGCCTTCTCTACTGAAACACCACTTTGCCTGTCTAAATTAATATATCCTTACATATGCATAGTAATCAAAATGAGTATGCCACCTTGGCACTGCAAATTTCCCTGAAAGTTGTTACAGGAATAAAAAAGTTAATATCATAAATATCATGTTTCTATTTTGATCAGTGCGTATATATCATCTTATATATCATCGTTTTAGCTTACACAGTTATTGGAGCTTCAGCTGAAATTTAGCAGGTTTAATTAATATTCTAAAATGCAGGCTAATATTAGAAGATTCTGCCAAAAAACAGTCTCTCCATTTTGTTTTCCTTAGTATGACTGGAGTTGAGGCATTTCAAAAGAATTTTTGTCTCTCCACAGATCTTTCAGTGCACACAAACTGTGTTACTATGCTGACAGACTCCGCTGTCTCAAGGAAACATGTAAAATGAAATGCTTTCTGTATTAGTGCCATACAGTTCTGTGATTCAGAGAGCGGTTTGTAATTTCCAGAAAGCATCCCAACATGCTTCAGTGTGTTCACCTCTCTGGATTGATCCAGAGTTCAAAAAACACATTCATCAAAAGCAGAGAAAGCTGAAAGCCAAAAGTTGAATCCCTGGGTTTGTCATACAGTACTCTTTATACTTACTTTGCATTTGAGGATCTGCTACATGTAATTTCTCCTTGATGTTGGAAGAAGTGATGCTCTTAAACTGTATCCAATGAGTGGAGCAGACAGTATGTGGTATCTGGGGAAAAATTCTTGCTAACACTAGTCCAAGAAGGCTGTTCATTACACAAGCTTTCACTGATTGAAATAATTCAAACATTTGTAACTGTCCTTTTCTATTAGAGCAGGAGCTAAGAAGAACAGGGATTTGCTCTTGCTGCTCACAGGATTTCATGAACTTTTACTAACAGTGAATCCAAGTGCATCACTTTGCTTTTGTAACCCATTCTTCAGTGATATTATGATCTTATGAAATTAAAGGACTCTTGCCTAAGGTAGGTGTAGGGAATCTGGCTCATTAATGTTTTGCAATAAAAAGACAAGCCTCGGGAGTTTTGCAAGAAGACCTGGCCTACTCAACTAGAAATGAGGTGACCTTTCTATTATTGAAAGTACTTTTCTAAAATCCATGGATTTCATCAGAAGAATAAGGGTAATTGTCTTTCCACTCGTAAATTGATTCAGTTCCAGGACAGAAAACTCACCTCCAGCTAGCACAAAGCTATTAATGTTTCCTGGGTCATGCAAATTTTGAATTCTGTCTCTTTACTTTCAAAAAAAGATTTGCAACTCTTGTCTTGCTATGTGAGTCACTACCATTTTAATCCCTTCTTTTCAGGTCATTAATTTAATGTCAGTGCCTTTGAGAACATCGTATGTTTTGTGCCTTCTATTCCAAAATTAGTTTCTTGTCTTCTTCCCAGCAGGCTGCTGTCCCCTGTTGGTGCTCCCTGATGCAAAGGCATCAGCATATCTTGCTATCTCTTGGATCTGCTTAGCTTCATTGTATACTTCTGTGCTAACACCGTAGGTACTATCATAAAAAGGAATGGTAGGGCAGCAGACAAAGTACCCTGATTTGTACACAAATGTAATGAGAATAACACAGCTCCTGTGTATGCCACATATGTGACCCACTTTCTGCTTCTGGCCTGGGTCTCTCACTTCACTCTGCAGTTTCAAAATCTATGCAATAGCAAGAATACAAGGCTCCACTGCAGTGTCCACGACCAGCCTTATGTCCCTAATGGTACTACAGGAAAAGATTTGTGTCTCTTTTTCCTTTGCTAGAGCATTTTGGAAGGTTTATCTTGCATTTAATATGCTAATACTCAAGTCCAAGGATTTTGCAAGTTGCATTTGTTTATGGCAGCCTTCTAGCTAACCAAGCTTTCTTAATGACTGGCAAATTATTCTTAGATTGGTTTAATGTGAGAGGCAGTTATTAGATACTTTCTAAATTATTTTAAATAGATAAAGAACCTAAGTAGTCCTGAAAATGGTGAGTGGAAGCTGTCAAGGAAACAATTTGTTAATGGAAACACAGCATAATTAACTACTTTATTTAAATGACTTGACAGTAAGTTATTGGGAAGAGCTAAAAACAGGGGACTCTGCAGCAGCAGAGAGTCTGTGCAATTGTAAGTGAGTGAGCTGTCTGCTTTCAGAGTGACCTTAATACAGAGAAATTAGCTTTGGGATAGAAACAAGAATAGTGGTCATTTGAAGGAAAATAAGGTCAGATTCACTATAGAGTTCATTAAACTGTTATGTCTTTTTGAGTTTAGCCAGCAGCGTCCTGCCTGTGGTAAATTCCCCAACTAAAAACATCTGTGTTAAATTCTTTACTGTCAATTCTTGCCTCAAGAGCATGCAACAATGTCACAGTCTGCCTGCTTCTCCATGTGGCCACACCAGGGTGATCATTGGAATAACAGTGAATGAGCATGAATCAGAAACATCTAACAGCCCTTACAAGCTTGCCCTTAGGGACTGGTTTACTAAGCTGAAAGCTGAAATGAGCCTGCCCTGCTAGATGTAGCACTTCACTCTACAAAAACAGTTCTGCAGAACCAGGGGCTAAGTTCACAGTGTGACTGTTTGGCATTTAGTTATTGGTGAGATGTTAGGGCCTATTAGTATTGTTTAAACTCCAGAAGTGATCAAATGCAGCACAGACATGGGAAGAGAGTCACAAGCTGAGCTCACAAACTAAAAGACAAAGTGAGGAAAAATAAAGACAGCATGGAAGCGTATACTTGGCAGTTAAATTCATTTGCTGGACATGAGATTATCTGTCAGACAGACAGCTGGTTAGTTTCTTCTAAGTGTCACAGGTAAGGTTAGTCATTTTATGGCAGAAAGTAGTCAGCGTGATTAAGCATGAGCTACTCCTGATCAATCCATGCTGAGCACTCTCAGTCACATCCTTTGTCTTTCCAGCACCTGTTCATAGGAAGACATGCTCTGTGATTTTTCCAGGAAGCAAAGTGAGGAGCTAACTGGCCAAAAAGCTTGTAGATCCTCACATTGTCTCTCTTGCCCTTTGTGAAGATGAGTGCAACATTTGCCTTTCTCTGGTCACCAGGAACCACGTTTAATCTCCATGACCTTTCAAAGATGATGGAGTGTCCTTGATACAAAAGTGATCTCTTTCAATACTCTTCAGTCTGCCCATAGGGTTCCATGGGTGTGATGTGTTCAGGAGAAGCAGCTGAAGGTAAAATCATTCAGAGTATGGAGGCATGGAGGACAGCATCTACTAGGGCTGCAATTCAGATTTCAGTTTTATTCTCTAGTATGAAGGAGCAGGAACTGTAAGTCAAACTGAATTCCCATTTGTGAGAGATGTAAGTATCACATCTTGCCAGAAGAGGATCCCATTACCACCTCACGGTCTACTTGGATTCCATCTGCTTTACTTCTATTACTGTGTCATCCCCTAGTTTTTTCAAATGTTTACCCCTATATCCTTTATAATTCAGGATTTGTTTTCACCCCTCCCCTATGAGTGGCATGTTTTGCTCCTCTTCTGCCAGTCTGTGAATTCATTGTTTGCTGGCTGGCAAGGCACCAGATCTAGGGTGGCAGATGGGGGCAGACTGCAAACCAGGCAGTTGCTTCCCAGCCCAAATGATATTTTAATAAGCACAGAGAGGTGACAGAGGGAGAAGCTTCTCACTGGAATGACTGGCAGTTTTGTTTTCAGCCTGAAAGCGCTAATAGATGACTTTTGGCATCAATCCAAAAATACAAAACCATAGAAAGTAGAGGCAGAAAATCCCATTAGCTTCTAACTTATCCCTCTTTTTTAAGGGTCGGAGAGCATTTTTCTCTCTGGTCTATTCTCTGGATAGTGAATTGTTTCCTTGTTTCTTGTATTTAAGTTCTCTCTGAGGAATTCTATAATTTCGGAGACCTGCCTTTCCTTCTCTTTTTTCATTTTATTCACTTTCTCCACATCTTCCTTCCTCCCTAAGCAACCTTTCTTCTTCTAGTTTCTTTACATTCTTTGCAGATCCACAATGAAGTCTGTCTGAATAACAGGCCTTAACCGTTTTGGCTTCTAGCTTCTGCATCCTGTGAAACAGCTGCTGCAGTGATCTGCATGGGAACCTCTAGAATGAATGTCCTCTTCTCCTTGCCCTTCAGCTGTATCTCAGTTGCATAATACAAGGCGTGCCTAGGGCTTGCTTTCATCCTTCGTTTTATGAATAAAAGTGCTACAGAATAGAGCTCTGGCAAAGCCCCACCAAAATCTGAGATCCCTCTGCAGTGTGAGCTGCTCAGTGTTCTGCAAACAAACTATAGGATAGTGAGGCTTTCAGAGAAGAAGATTCTTTTTCTTCCTACAAGTACAGGAAAAAAAAGGTCACTGGGAAAATATCAAAATGATGTTGGGGTACGACTGAGATCCCATACACTGATCAGAGAACACCTTAAAAACTTCTTAGTATTCTACATAGAATTTGATGCCTACTTAGCAGGATTCAGATCTGAGTTTCATATGAAGTACAAACTGGAAATATGATTCCTGCTAAAATATGGTTCTTCTTCTTTTCAGATACAATGATGGCACTGAAGGTTCAGATTCTGTTTGGCTTCCTCTGGTGTGTGATTTTAATGCCTATAGATGGCTTCCCAGTAGACAGCAATACTGAATTTCGCTCTGCTTTCTCAGTGGCCAGAACCAGCAGCATGGAAGGGAGCTCTGAGATGGTCATTACCTTTGACAAAGTGTATGTGAACATTGGCAATGACTTTGATCCCAAGACCGGGTTGTTTCGGTGTCGTATTCCTGGAGCCTACTACTTCTCATTCACAGTTGGGAAATACCCAAAGAAAAACTTGTCTGTCATGCTGATGAGAAACAAGAATGAGGTGCAAGTGATTGTGTATGATGAACATCACCGCAAGGAACGGAAGGTAGCCAGCCAGAGTGCCATGCTGCAGCTTGACTATGGTGACACTGTCTGGCTGCGTTTACATGGAGATCCAAAGTATGCTCTTTACAGCAATGTAGGCCCCTATACAACTTTCAATGGCTATCTGATCTATCCAGACACTTCTGCCTTCTTCCAGAACGCTCTCAGTTCTCAAGAACTGGGGCCTCACCGTCACAATGTTCAGAAACTTCCAGGAGAGCTGAATGTAGCTTCTCAGCAACATATGTTATCCGATCAGCCTAAGAAGGAACAAGACCCTCGCTCTGCATTTTCTGTCGCCCGCTCACAAAGTCTCCTGGGCACAGATGGCAAGCAAACCCAGCATGAGCCAATCACATTTGACACAGAGTTTGTGAATATTGGGAAAGATTTCAATTCCTCCACTGGCATCTTCTCATGCCGTATACCTGGTGCGTACTATTTCTCCTTCACCATTGGCAAAATGCCCTTTAAGACTATGTCAGTGAAACTTATGAAGAACCACAATGAGGTGCAGGCCATGATCTATGATGACAACCACTCCAAGAGGCGGGAGATGCAGAGCCAGAGCATCATGCTGCCTTTGCAGTACGGGGACACCGTCTGGCTCTACAGCCATCAGCATGATGGCTATGGTGCCTACAGCAACCATGGCAAGTACATCACCTTCACAGGCTTCCTGATCTATTCAGAGCCTCAGCCAAAGCGGCTCCCAGGTGCCAGCTCACTCCAAGGGTCAGAAAATTAAATGTGGATGTGAAAGGAGCACAAGAAAAGCCAGGGTGCCACGAACTTGGGTATAGCTCCTCTTTGGATATAGTCCTCTACTTTGAGCATGCTATCATGTGTACAGTGCTTTCTTTATGCTGCACGCTTGTGCTCTGACTGCAGGGCCATTGCTGTGTCTGTCATTTATCCATAGAAAAGTCTGTACAGGAATGTATGTGTGTGTCCTGTGTTGGTGTTTGACTTAAGTATAAAGCATGAGGTAGTTTTGGGGCAGGGGCGGGGCAATGTAGTGAAATGCTGAGGATCCGGGAAACACTGCAGACGTGTTACTGCAGATCTCTAGCATCCAGAGAGCAAAGGATGTGGTGACTTTCCTTGCATATGTGGGAAGGAAATAAATGTAATAAAAAATACAAAAGGTGTAAAATTTTCTCAGGTTTGAATTTGTTGTTGCCTGTGAAACTTGTGTTCTTGTCACTGCCTGAGGTCTCAGTTCAAGAAAAAAGAGCACAATCAATGTACGAGCTGCAGTATTGTACATTCGTGTGTGCAAAGTGTTGGTACCTCTTAGGGTTTTATTGGAAGTTTCACAGTATTTGATGCTTTTCTGAATCTGAACTTCCTGAATCAAGAACACACAAGAAAAATGTTTAGGAATCTCATCTTCCATTTAATGAAAACAATACATTTAAGAAAAGAAAAGTCTACTTCTGTTTCTTGTGGTAAAGGATGAGGTCTCAAATCTAGGAATGACCCAACCTCTGAAACAAGACTGCTTAGAAATAAGGTAAGTAAGAGGAATTTTAGAAGTACTTTTTAAAATCTAATATTTAGGTCATGACTTACATGTGAATAGTATTGTGTCACGCGTTGACATTAACTTCTTCAGAAATTAACTCCTTGAACGTAAGGATATGGCTAAGGTTTATGCCACACTGGTAACCTAGCACAAATGGGATCAAAGTTACCCCTGAGTGATATGTTCAGCAGTTGTGTTCCAGTGGTTTCCTACAGGCTGTGTTCCGTCGAGTCGTATTGCTGCTGCAGTGGGACTGCTGTGGCTGTAGAGGGCACTGGTATGTTCCTAAAAGGCAGCAGTTGGGATTTAGGAAACCAGCAGGCTGGAAGCTTCAGCGCAGTGCGGTGGAGTGCAGCTGCACTTGAGATCAGCTACTCCCTGGTTTGTCTCCTAAAATACGCGGCAGAAATGCACCATCCTTAGAACGCCTGGAACTGCGTGACGTCCCTTGAGTTTAACTTGCAGGCTGCTCAACAAGTAGCAAAGCCCTTGAACTGACCTTAACAGCATCCTGAATTCAAAAGAGTACATTTGCATCTGCGTCACCAACCCCCTGGACCTTTACTTACAGCTCCGACTTCGCATCTTGCAGCAAGGCAGTATTTCCAGGCACTGCTACCATTCCAGCTCAGCCATTTAACGCGGTCCTGTGCTCAAACTGGATGTGTTTGCAACCACTCCCTAGCTTTATCATAGCATATGCATCACAGACATTTAAGACTGAAAGTATGTTTGGGAAAAGGATGCTGGAGGTACATGAAAAAAAAAAAAAAAAAAAGCCAGAAGAACAGTGAGATAGGACACTAGCTTCCTAGCTTCCTGGAAGCTATGCTTCAAATAAAATAATAATCCCTACACCTACATCCTTAGAGGGAAAAAAAAAAAAAAAAAAAAAAAAGCTTTGTGAATGGTATAAATCTGTTCTGTAGCCTTTTGTAGCCCTAACCTGACCTCTAAAACCATTCTCTGTGTCTTCTTGCTTCCAGGCTTCTTATTCCTATCTCACTATTTTGTCTCTCCATCTGCTGGGCAGCAGTGGCTTGGAGAAAAATAAACTAGGTCAAAAGCTAGCAGTTCCCTCTTTGAATGTCATACACTTCCTTTTTCAGCATGGAAAATTAAGAGTGTATTGATAGAAAAGAAATTACAGATCCCACCATCTGCATGTGCAATGAATATTCAAAATTAATGTGGCAGCAGGAAACCCAATAGAAACAAACAAAAAATCAAAACCCTCCTGTGTAGATAATCATATTTATTTAATTCCACACAGCAATGTGTAAGAGAGAGAAAGTTAAGAATCTCATTCTATAAAATAATTATGTTTCTGATTTTGAGTATAAAGATTGTGTGTTTGTTATGTTTGTCTTGTAAAGTGCCATAGCAGGACGAAAAAGAACTTCAGAAGAGGTAAAATCTGCTGTAGAAATAACTAGGTCACTATCCTTGGGAATTTAAATGAGGTATAAAAAGTATATTCCAAACTGCTAGCTGACACAAAGCAGTATACATATATAAATATAATATACAAATACAAGGAAGCTTTGTAGAATACATACAGTTTTGGTTGATCTTTTAAGAAAAATGAACACATTATGTGGAAAATTACTTTGGGCACATAAAATGTGAATTGCATAACCAGAAAGCTGAAATTAAATGCACTACCTGTTTTGTGAAACACAGCAGCATCTGCTTAGCTGATTACTGGAGAGGAGAAAAGAGACTGCGTTTGGCTGAAACCACAGAAGGAATAGAGGACGCCAAACTGAATTATTCAAGATAAATTCTGCTAAGACACCAGTGTAACATCCTGGAAAAAACCTGCCAGGACGACTCCCTAGAAAGCATCAGTGATCAAGATAGATAACACTTCTATGTAGCACTGCCTACATCAGCCCAGCCCACTTAAAAAAAAAAGAAGAGAAAAAGGGAAGTGTGAGATGCAATTTTGAGTTGTGTCCTGTTCTATCTAAAAATAAAATGTTGTGTATAAATACAGAGAGCTGGATGAAAGATGTGGCATATTTCTGCAAAGTCCGGAATAATGTGGAAGGATTGTCAGCATTTGAAACAGCCCAGATTGCAGCTGAGGTCAGATGCACACCTTCCCATGGTTGTTTCCCTTACTAAGTGTCTCTCTTGGTCCTGGCCAGATTAGAGCGATAAAAATGTTTCAGAGATGCTAAATGTGAAGGCTTTTCCTTCGAGGGCCAGGAAGCCAGGAGGAGGGTGGAATTTGCAGGGCAGAACCCCTTGCACAGATCACGAAAGATTTCATCAGCTAGTTGAGAGAAAAAACGGATCCAGAGATTTTTATCCAGACCCTGAACCGAGCGGATCTGATAGGCGCAGTAAACACTGGTGAAAAGCAGACGGTCAAACTCTGTTAGAGGCAAAGGGGTGTCCGTCTGTGAGTAATATCTCAGTTGCTGCTCAATCTCCATCGGTGTTTTGGGAACTTCGCGCTCTAAGATCTGCATGAACCACCGTGCTGTGCGCAGGGAGGCCAGCTCTTCGTCCCGCAGCTGGATTGTCCCGTTGGCCTGAATGTCCAGCCTCCCCCAGAGCATCTGGAAGAGAAGAGCAGCACATGCGTTGCAAAGCCGCCTGCTTGACCTCTGTCACTGCCAGCACCACACCCTTTCTCTGCCTGGCTCCATGCCTTGGCTTCCCCACAGAGCCCCATCCAGCCCTCGCCTCCCACCTGCATCTCCCAACACCGGCCCACCCCGCTGAGGTGTTTTCCAGCCATTCCCAAAATACAGTGAGAACAGTGCACAACACGGGAGTTTTTAGGTGCAGGCCGATGGGAGCACAGGCACTAGCAGTGCCCGGGAGACCTCTAACATGACGTCGGCGTCCTCTGGGCCACGGCGAGGTGCGTTGGTGCTGACATCGTCCCTGCTGTAAGGATGTTCATCTGGAAGACATCAGGCAGAGTTGGACACCACAAGATCATGGCCCTTCCCATTTATTTCTATCATTTGGTTGTCAATAAAGCCTTCAGTATTTCTGAGCTGGCACTTGCAGCATGACAAATATGACAGATGCTGACCTCAGGATTTCAGTGAACAACACAAGCATCATGAGAGAAGCAGAAGTGTTCAAGGGAGGAAAATTTGAGGTCTGGATATGATGACCCTCAGTCCTGCCAACATGGAGCTAAAGCATTGGGCAGCAAAGGCATTTGCTTTAGAAGACAGCAAGGGAGCCCCTCACACTGAGCTGGGTGCAGTAGGAGTTGAGCAGATGGGTTATGGCAGTGGGTTTCTTTGTAGCTTTTGCAGGGAGAAGGAAATGCTGCCCAATGGGAAGAATGCGTGAGAAGGCTCCTAGAACTTCTGGTGGAAATAGCACTTGATGCTCACCCTGTTTTTTCATTTGTTCCCTGAGCATCTGCCAGCAGCAGATGCAGATTATGAGGCTGTTCTCACATCCAGCTAGTTCCTTGCTGGGTCACCTAGCTTCATTGATATGAGGATATTATTAATAACCTCAATTATTAATATGAGAGTCACATTAATCCTAATATTTATTAAGTCTTCTGATGATTTAAAGTTCTGCATTTATTTTACCTTTTCTTTTACTTTCTTTGTGAAAAAAAATAGAAGAGGAGCCACGTGTTTCCTCAGTCCGGGCTTGTGGGATGGAGGCTGCAGCTCCTCCCTTCTCCATGCTGATCTGTATAGTCATGAGCCAAGACTCCCTTCTGTGGATCCTTCGCTCCAGGAAAGATGAAATATAAACTGGTATAAACTAGTAAGCTCTCTGACACTTATTTTTTTTTTCCCCACTTTTATGTGGAGAAAGGCTTTTCTGTATTGAGGAAGAGGGAGAATATATACTGAGTACTCCAGAGTTAAGGTCAATAGGTGCTTATGAAAAGGAGAAAAATGATTTAATACTGCATGTGCATGATGACTACTACCAAACTCCACTTCCAACTTTCCATATTTTTTAAAGCTTTTCAGGGAGATGTACAAGCTGCCTGTGCACTGCTGTCTCCACAGACTGAGGTTTGTTTCTCTGCACAGCTGCAGGCTCCCTGATCTGAGCCACTTGAGGCTTTGGAATGTGAGCAGAGATGTAGCTGCTCTTTCCTCTTCCTCCATAGATGTGCCAGCAAAGCTTTTACACCATCTGAAAATGTCTTTGTTGGGCTTCCCCTCTCAGCTAACTGATACACTGAATTCACAGAAACCTCTAATAAGAAACATCTGGCTGGCTTGTAAAGTCAGTGATAGCCAGAAAACTACTGTTGTTAATAAACATAACCAAAGCATAACAAATAATTTATTGAAATAATAAGATAAATGTAATTTGGAGATGGAAAAAAAATGATCCCTTATTTACTTTTATCATTTCACAGTAGTTGTTTTTCCCAAAAAGCATCTAGAAAACCTGCAGACATCATTGCAGGTACAGACTTTTTCAGCAGAGACCAAGAAAACCCTCCTCCAGTCATCAGAAATAGCAGCAGGTCTTCATCCTGCAGGTAGGCATTAATGTCTCTCTGCTGTACAAAAGCCAGCTAGGACTCCAGCCTAACACACCCTCTCCTTCATCAGCACAGCTAGCTGATGCATTTGATCATATCTGAAGAAGCAGGCCAAGTGTAGTACTGCTGGAATGACACAAATATTTGCCAAGCCAAGAAGCTACATCACGAACGAACAGGTGCACTTCCTACCTGTGAGCCTCTGGGATCCAGCAAACATGCACAGGATCAGCCAGGTGTTGAGCTGCACCTGGGCCATAGCAGCTGTGCCCAGTAATGGTTCACATCCCCTCTGCAGACTGTGCCGTGTGAAGTGAAAGCTGTTTGCCGTGGTGTCTTTCCTGGCTGCTTCTGATCCCAGCAGCCTCTGCTAGAATAGATCCGCCTTTCTGTGTTTATGATTGCAGCCCTGGGAAGGGCCTTGCAGCTGAACTTGCTAACCCCAAAGGATATTTTTCATCATATTTTGGAAACTTGGAAGACTTTGATGTGAAGGTTTTGGCAGAATTATTTAAGCTTCTCTTCCAAAAACTGATTTTCCACTGCAATTAATTATACAAAGCTATTTGTTTTAAGAACTTTCATTACACGTGATTGCCTCTGAAGAAGGGGAGACCTCTTTGTCCCTTTCTCCTCTGGACAGTGCCTGTCCCATCTCCATGGAACTTCTCCACTCCTTGGCTTCACATTCACTTTTCCCTTTTACAGAGTTTGAAAATCTGCAAACAATCCAGAAGTGTCACAAACAGATAAGGCCAGCAATCTGGGCAGATTCACTCTAGGGCTGTAGCAGCCAAAATACACAAGCAGGCAGAGGAAATGTTACTTGTTCAGCTCTGTAGCAAACCTTCAGGAAGGGATACTCAGTATAATGATCTAGCAAACAGCAAGGATCAGAGTCAGTTAGGCTTTAGCACCTCGTCATCCTCTCCTGTGACTTCTGGGTTACAATGGGCAAAGTCTGTTTTAGGTGTTGAGAATTACCTAGGTGAAACTTCATCTGATTCCCTTCACAGAAGATAGCTGTGCTGTCCACATCTTTGCACTTCTGTTAGTGCCTAGCCCTCACTCAGGATGTTGTATATTTCTACTCCATGTGGCACGGTATTGTTCCAGAATCACCAACAGGTTCTTGGATAATTAGGGTCATACGAATCAGTAATAAGTATAATTAGTAACAGTGCCATCTCACTCAAGTTAAATATGTTCTTTGGGGAAATATGTCTACCTAAAACAGAAAGGAGGTGAAGCTGAAGTGCATACTTTTCTCAGCAACTTAGAGAATATCAGTTTGTAGTGACTTTGGTCACCAGATAGTTTATGAGATGACCTTCCACTTAATAAAATGACAGTGTGCAAACCATGCAGCCAGACTTTTGAAATTTCCAGTGTCTGTAGCTATACCTTGCAATATGTGGGCTTACAGCAACTATGAAGAAAAGCACAGATTTATTAAGAGAGAAGGGGCCCTCAGTATCCAGGGCCGTTTTTCCCCCATTTGCATCAAAGTAAAACCTGTGTTTCTGTCACAGCCCTGGTTGTCTTACAGTTAAACAATGCTTCTTTAAGTTTTCATTATTTTCTGCTGCTTCCTCTTTAGTTGCATCCCTTTATTCTGGGACGAGATATCTTTTACTGAACTGTAAATAACGTGCTACTCAGGAGATAGATTCTGATGTCCCATTTGTGCAGTGAGATTGATGTGCTTCTGAATTCTTTAAAATCCACTGCATTCACATAACTGTCTAGAAGTTACTTTGCCAAAACAAACGAACAAAAACCAAAAAAAAACAAGAGTCCTGCATCTTTTGGGACATGAAATAACCTCTTTTCAGCATGCATCCGTGGTGTTTTGCAATACTGACAAAGCAGTCATCCAGAACTTTTGGCCAACATCTGCATAAGTTATATATATTTGTCAACAGGAGTATGTCCTAGGAACTGCATGCAGCTGAAGTATCTAGGAAAAGATAGTCATATTGGTGGGAAGAAGGAGAGAGAAGGCCCATAGGCTGTGTTCAGATGACTGATCCAGCAGCAGGTAGGAGGTGGTGGCATAGGTAGTGTTTGTTGCCTTGAGCTGGGGGAATTTTGCAGAATTGCCTCACTATCCCACAGAGAAAGACAACTGCAGTAATGATAAACATGTGCCTTAGGTGTTTGTAAACAGCAATAGTTATATGGGTTGTGCCCCGAAGCAAGCAGGTGATCCTGACAGTTGAACATAGTCCCTGCCTGTGCAAATGCAATGTTAGGTGGTGCATCTGCTCCTCCTGAGGGGTTGTGTCCTTGCCAGCTATTCACAGCTGAATGTGCACAGTGCTGCTCCTCCACATGTCCTCTGGTCAGGCCATCTGTCACAGGAGCAGTTTCAGAATGTCAGATTACTTCAGGGGCACCTTGGCTGATTCTGGCATTTACACAATGATCTCCTCAGTCTGTAAGGTGGGAAAGGGAAACAAGATATAGAGTCATAGAACCATGGAATATCCTGAGTTGGAAGAGTCCCATGAGGATTATTGAGTCCTACTCCTCACTCTGCAGAGGACCACCCAAAATTCAAGCTCTATGTCTGAGAGCGTTGTCCAAACTCTTCTTGAGCTCCGACTTAGGGCCATTACCACTGCCCTGTAGTACTTTTTCAGTACCACCCTCTGGTGAAGAACCTTTCCTAATACCCAACCTGATCTCCCAGTGCAGGTCTTGGGTCCTGTCACAGTCACCAAAGAGATCAGTGCTGCTCATTTTCTCCCCTTGTGAGGGCTGCCATGAGGCCTCCCCTCAGCCTCCACTTCTCTAAGCTGGAGAAGCCAAATGACCACAGGCACTCCTTAATACATATTAACCTCAAGACCCTTCACCTTTACAGCAGAAATGCTAAGTCCTAGCCTGAAGCAGTGATTGAGCACCTGGTGGGAAGGCAGGGCGAACCCAGGGGAGCTCAGCTGCGTGCAATGCCCCTGGGTGACTGGAAAAGCTGGAGCCAGGATCCACCCCTTCACAGACCTCATTTAAGGGTTGGAAATGGAGGTGAGGGTATCTTGCTGAAGCTTCCTGTGTCCCTGAGGCTTTTTGAAGGTAAGCAACTTTTTTTTCCTGTATGTTTGTGCCTGCAGCTGTTGTATTTGAGCAAGCCCTCGCTTGCTGCAGCCTAGGATCTTGCTGCTCTGCTATCATTGCTGTGTTTTTCATTGCATTACAACCATCTTTGTGTACAGACCAGAATTTGTAGGAGCTGGCTGAATGTGCTAAACTTTGTTCAAAGCAGCAGATGGTTGGCCATCACCAGGTGATGGTGCAGCAGAGGAAGGAACTATAGAAGGAAGATACAAGTGAAGAAGCAGCCACTCAAACCTAGTTTTCCAAAGTTACAAATGACAGTATCTGTTGGGAAGAATTCCTCTGGATCTTGCATTATATAGACTCCTGCAAGCCCTCAAACCTTGTATCTGTTCATTGGTACACTTAGTGTCTCCATCCACAATTACAATGCTCATACATGCCTTTTCTTTTGCACCATGTTGGGTCTCTGTGATTTTTTTATTTTTTTTTTTTCCAGTTGTGTAAAGGCACATAGCTGTGTTTGTACAGCTGAAGCTACTCATTCTCTTGGTGCTGTGGATTTCTGCTGCTGCTTTTTCCCATTGCAGACTACATATGTATGGTGGGGCAAGCATCTTGTTGCATAGGCTGTACTTTAATACAAATGTGATCTAGAGAAGCATCAGAAGGCTTAAGGTGTGCTTAATACAGCACCAGAAGAGCCTCTTTGGAAGGGAGGTTTCTTTGAGATGAGACTGTAAAGAGTTAGGTAGCATCTTAATAGCAAAATTCTGCTTAAAAACTGGATGAATCTCTTGCTTCATGTCTCACCCACAACTTGGGGAGATCACAGAAACACCAAGGTTGGAAAAGACCTACAAGGTCATGCAGTCCAACCATCCACCTATCACCAATGGTTCTCACTAAATCATGTCCCTCAACACAATGACCAAACGTTCCTCCTTGAACACCTCCAGGTTGGTGACTCCACCACCTTCCTGGGCAGCCCATTCCAGTGCCTGACCACTCTTTCAGAGAAGTAGTATTTCCAAATGTCCAGCCTAAATCTCCCCTGGCACAGCTTGAAGCCATTCCCCTTAGTCCTAATCTCAGTTCCTGCCCCAGGCCTATCCAGCAGGCACTCAGGGGAAGAAGATGAGGAGAAGGGGAAAGCTAAGAGTGGAAAAGAAGAAGATATGTAGCTCATGGGGTAGGTGATACTGTGAGTCACAGGAGGGGAAGAAGTGTAACAAGGTTGAGTAAAGCACTGTCTATAATCAGATGCAGCCTGCACAGTGACATATCTTATAGATACAGTGATGCTGGTCCGTTATAAAATAGTTTCCTTCTATTTTCCTTCCGGTCTGTGAACCAACTGCCTGAAGGACTAATGGGCTGTCTAACAGTGTAAGAGAGGGCCCCATCCCACTGCACCTGCTACCCAAAAGGGATGTAATAGGGCCTCACATAACATGGGGCAGATGTGATAGGGTGCAGTAATATGAGGTGTGATGTCACCTAGCCGGTCCTTCAGTAGTCCTGTAACTTCTGCTCTGAAGGACTTCAAGGCCCAGCTGAAATCCCTGTCTCAATTTTTGCCTGGAGATCAATAACCAGGGCCCATACAGACTGTGGCTGCGATGGGGGTGGATACCCTAATGCATCAACAGTTCCATCAGTAGCGAGGAGAGACTGTTTGCATGACTGTAGGGAGAAATGCCAAAGTTCTGGAAAACGCCAATAAAACATACTCAGCTGAGGAAGCTCAAGATGGTGACTGTGAATCATCACCTAAACTCTATTTGGCTCTGTGTTATAAGAAAATGTCTCCTCTGAGTAGTACATCTCTCTGTCAGCTACTGCACATATGTGTCTCATCCAACATCCTCCTACGTTTGGAACATCCAATGTAGGCAAATGAGCTGACAGCCTCATCGAGGCAGTGACAGAGGATTTAGAAGACATCATTGTCGCTGACTGCTGACAACAGCCTTGCCCAGTGTGAAGCAAGCGCCCACCAGCCACAAGGACCCTGGAGCAAGCAGGTTCCTATGCAAGCATGGCTCAGAAACAGTGTAGGTGGTGTGCCAACATTGGCAGTACTTTATGAGGCTGTGTAACCTCCTGTCTCCTGGGATAGTGTGTCTGGGTGAGTAAACTGCACTATTTATATGCCCCAAGTCTTCTCTAATTAGAAGATATTTGGGTCCATTAGCAAATATTTCACGTATTAAAGACCTGCTGGAGCCAATGCTTGACTCTACAGGGCTGGCTGCTTGGACTCTACGTGTATGCTTTAGCAAATGTTGCATTTTCACTAACTTGACAGTGCATTGTGTGATGCTGTCAATCAAATTCTCCCTCTGCACAAACATGTTTAGTGGCTTTTCCTTCTGTTTTAGTTTCTGTCACTCTTCTGACCTTTCATACTTGGAAATATGTATTTTTGTAAATACATCATAAGTCATGTTATGATGCTTCAGGCATCCTGAGATGGGTAATGAAGAACATGGTGGGGAAAAATGTTCTTTATTAATATTTTTCACAGTGATAGAAGTGGTGTTATACACTTCTGTATTGTGCAATGAGCATCAGCATGCAAAAGAGCTGGTGCAACAGAAAATAGAACCAGCTGTGGAATATTGTAGAGATGATCAAAAGTTTATTTCCTATTTAATCAATTCAAACACTGGCAGATCCTAAGGGAACCTAGAAATTATTTAAAACACAAAGTTCTGCTGACTTCTTGTGTTTCCTTTCTCCTATTTTCTTCCTATAAAGAGGTGTAATTTTTAATAATTATGGCAAATGCTACAGTGATTAGAGATTGCTGTTCTGAGTCATATCCCTGACACCACTGGCCACAACAGCCTGAAACAAATTAAGGCAGAAAAAAGAATTTAAGAAATCCACACTTACAAAGCTAGGGTGTAAACAAATATGGAACCTGATTCTTACCATACAGTTTAGCTCTTCTTGCAAACAGGTCACATTCTAGTTGCAGTGATTTACTACCTTTTTTTTTTTTTTTTTCTCTTAAGTGAATTTATAACTTCTATTCCTTTCTCTGTCCCATAGTCTGACTTTCCCAGCTCCTGTTTTTATTTATTTATTTTTTTAATGGAATCATAGAATCCTTAGAGTTGGAGGGGACCTCTGAAGGCCATCTAGTCCAGCTCCCCTGCAATCAACAGGGGCACCACAGCTAGATTAGGTTGCCCAGGGCCTTATCCAGCCTCACCTTGTTTAGTGATCTTAGAATTTAAAAAGTCCTGAAGTGGTACTGGGATGATTCAGATAATCTCTACAAACAGTTTGCGAATTACTTTATGAAATTCTTACACAATAGATTTGAGATCTTAATGAGGTCAGTCAGCTTTCTGGTGCAGATGTTATGCATTTTCTGGACTATGAACAATAGACATTATTAATTGATGACTGCTGTGATGTAATAGCAGCAGCTGGTGGGTGGACAGAAACTATAATACTTCTCAATTTTTTTTTTGGAGCTGAGATTTTCCACAACAGCAAAGATAGTGGTAATGCTATTATGTCACAGAGCTCAGAATAATTGGAAAGGTGACAAAGATGCTCATACTTTTGTCTCCAAGAAAAGGGAAGATTAAATATTTTGGCTGCAGGGAAAACCACAGTCTGAAGAAGCTGGAAAAAGTAAAGGCTGCTGAACCCTGAAGAAAAAGCTGGTATGGAGTAACATGTGAGAGGTTACCTGCCACTCTTCCTGCCAGCAGAACACAGATGAAGCTCCCAGAAACAGTGCAGCTATTTCCACTGTCTTTATGGTCTGAATTCAAGTGCTTCTTGTGTTGTCCTAATAACAGCTGGTTCAGAATCATGAACATACACGAGCTCTCTGTGTTTGCTGCATTACTATAGTCTTCCCGGAGCCCATTGTAGAGCTGAGACATTGCTATTATTTAAGCTACATAGCCATCTGAGAAGCCTCCTGATATCTGCACCTGGTAAGTGCTCAGGTTATGACTTATGCCTCCAGGGACAGCTAACAGAAGCAGCATATCTAAAGCAGCTTATCCACAGGAAATATCTGAACTCCATTCAATTTCCAAGCAAAAAAGACAAATCTAGTATCTTAGAGCTCAAAGTTAGATCATCAGGACTGTAAATTGACATCCTTCATCCTTTGTTTTTCTATGTTTGTTTTTCATCTAGGTTGAAAACAACAATTTACATGATCATGACAGGCCAGAGTCTCATAACAACTTTTATTACTATAAATATTACATTTGAACAGAAAGGATGGTGCCATGCACCCGCTCCATTCTGCTGCTATTTTGCATCTTCCTTCTTGGCTCCAGCTTCTATTTTCAGGGGTTCTGGAGGTGCACGATAAGCAGGAAATGCTTCCCAAGGGCTATTCAGATCAAACTTGCGAAATTCCTGAGATAATTCCACAGGTTCTGCCACTACCCGTTTCACTTCATCGTCATACCGCACCTAGAGCAGAGCAAAGAACAGTCATTTTCATACAGCCTCCGGTATCACCTCTGGATGTAAATGGTAATGACCAAGATCACTCTCCAGTACAAGTAACCCTTGTTTTTATGCCATGGATGGGATAAAGCACAGGCCTCTGCCACAGCTTCAGTTCTCCTAATTCACAAAGAGGAGACCTCCAGATGACACCAGGACCTGTGTACTCTCCAAAAATGCCCTCCTCTCTGCTACCATGCACCTAAGGTGTCCTGGTTAAACACTCTGAATCAGGAGTACCTAGCCTACAGTCCATACAAAGTCTACTTGAAATAATGTGTTTAGTTTGCTATATGGCAAAGCAAGTTCTCCTGAGTCCCTGCAGTCAGGTGGTCTATCCACACCATCATAGGTGGGGACTACTCTTGTGAATATCTGTGAATTGTCATCATGTCAGCTTGTTTGGTTTCAGTTGTGCTTCTTAGTACAACATTTGGAACACAGGGCAAGGGTAGGTGAATAATAGGTAGGACTGATTTATCCTTACTATGTCAATCCAGATCTCCAAATCTGCTGCCTCTCATCACTTACAGGACTGCATTATTTCTGTTTTCTTAAAACCACCTATTGCCTACAGAACTTCACTGTCTCTTCTTGAGACTCAGCTCAGCTTCAGAACAGCTCAGCTTCAGAACTGCACCAAATACAAATGCTTCTGCAAAAACAGATACTTTGAGCCTACGCAGATACCAAATATGCTCATTTCATTTGTGATTTAACATACAGTAGTAAACATTTGATAAATGAAAAGTCAGTTAAACTCTAGTTTTGTAATTTAAATCTACAAAAACTCCACGAAGCAGAGTTCCAGGTGCATAAAGATCAGGTTTGTTTTTTACTCCCAGAGGCATAAATAGTTTTTCAGTGGAAAATTTCATGCTAAAAGCAGAATCACTTTCTCTGCCCAAGAAGTGTCTGTGGCACACTGCACACTAAATTTGCTCAGTGTTCCTATCTTTAGGTTGCCTTATTGCAGATGATACATATGATGACTTCAAATGCTGGAGATATGTACAGCTTGCTTGAATGCACACCAGTTAAATGTATTTAGCTCTTTTTTAGATGAAAGATTATAAAGCAATCACATCTCTGTATTGAAACTCAGATAAAAATATTACAGAGATTTTATAACTTCAGACACAAATGAATCTCCTACCTCTACATAACCAGAGAGTGGAAAGTCCTTCCGGAAAGGATGGCCTTCAAACCCATAGTCTGTGAGGATTCGCCTTAGATCAGGATGGTTGGCAAAGAAAACACCATACATGTCCCAAACCTAAATGAAAGGGAAACAAGTTGAATTAGTCTATCTCCATTCTAACCTTTCTAGCGTGTCTGCAATTCCCCACCTCACCTGGAAAGGCCAATCCAACCATGAAAACAAACAAGCCCTGCTAACAAAGGCTCCTCTTACTTTAAGCAAAGTACCCTTTGTTATTATATCCACAGAATTTCAGTTACTTGCCTGGTTTTGTGTACTACCAGTGCAAGTCACAAAAGAACTAAACAAAAAACAAACCAAACACCTTTTTTTCCCCCTATTCAGAAGAGGAAGCCAGCAAAACACTTCTTTCTTTCTCAGTGCTCTAAGTATCAAGTTTTATCAGGAAAACACAGCCCCCTCAAAAGAGACTGCTCCCAAGTATGCTGGCACTCACCTCTCTTTCATACCAGTTTGCTGCTTTGTGCACAGACACTGCTGAGTCAATAGGTGTCAGCTCATCAGTGTATGTTTTCACACGGATCCGACTGTTGAATCGCAGAGACAGGAGATTGTAAACAATCTGAAGCAGAATACAAGAAGGCATTGGGCTTGTACGGACCTTGAAGGTCTCTTTGCAATACAGGACAGGCTGAGCAAAGATACATTAGGCCTATTTCAAATACTCCTTTTCAGCAAAAAAATGTGCAGCTTTTAGGAGCTGTGCACTGAAAGGCACTGTAACTGAGGCTCCAATACATTATTATATAGACAAAAAAATTAGCTAGTTTTCCTTATCCTTTTAACTTGCTTGGAATTAAACCATATCACTTCTCCCATTGAAGGATGATCTGCCCAAATTGGACAAAAGAAGAAGGACATCTCCTTCATCAATAAGAAGTCAGCCTCCTACAACCTGTGACCAGAATCTTCTGCTGTTATACTGTACAGCTTTTCCTAGGGTAAAGTACAATAAATTGAACAGAGCTTTCTAGTATGAGGTGAGAAGACAATATGCTGAGTATCTGAACTCCTTCAAATAGGTCCTGAGGTCAGCATATACTACATAAAACTACTGAAGTTCGTCCTTTTTTAGAAAATTGTTAAGGAGAAGACTGGTGGGATTTTAAGGCAAACCATGATTGGCTGTGTCAACAGCAGCTGACAGACCAAGGCACAATAAGGAAGAGCACCAGAGTCTGCTTCCTAGCAGAAAGGCGGCTCTGGACATTTTTGTAAAAACAAAGCAAAACAAACAAAAAACCAATCATTACTACCACTCCCTGCAAAAAGACTTCTAGCAGAACAGAACAGGAAAGCCAAGCTATGAATTCATGCAGTATCACTTCTACTACTACTTCCATAATCAACAGGTTAAACAAACCTGCACTTCAGAGTGGACTTTTATTTTCGTGAAGTAAAAAATGCAGTTCTAGCTGCAACAGCACCCACAGCCATTAGCACTTCTGAAACTCTCTGAGCGTGATGTCTTAGAGCAGTTCTTACCTCGAAGCGGTACTGCCGAGATGGGACATCAACAGCAGTCAAGTCAGCCAAGGACTTGAACTGAGCATTAGTATGATCTCGGAGGAAGGTCAGAACTGGAATAATCCCATCTGGATGAATCAAAAGCTCCAACTCATTGAAACAGGTCACCTGATAAAAAGGATGGAAAGGGAACTAGCACACATGCTAATAGGACCGAACCAGAATCCAGCAGGATATCATACAAAGAGAGTATATGATACAGCAGACACAATGATACCAGAGAAAGTGGCTCAATAGTGGTTGTAATTTTCATGTAATTCTGACAATCTCCCTTCCACACAACAATTTTTGACATCTAACAAGAAGCCGTGTGTTCATGCGGTCCCTTGCCTCCCAGCAAGAACAATTTCTTGAGCATACCTACCTGTACTTGCTGGATATACTTGGGCAGGATCTCAGCCACATACTCCCCAAATGCACAGAGCTGCTTCTGTTCTACTTCATTTTTCGGTCTGACAGTAGCTACAGAGAACAACAGATTACAGCAGGGCAAGCCACAGAAAGAGTAGCAACACTCATCATGTCCTTAAAAATCCCTTTAATCACTCTCAGTCTCTGAGTAACTCTTTCAGAAGCCGGGCAAATTCAGGCATCCCACAAAACTTACTTATGGTAAACCTGAAGCTAGATACACAATACATGCATAGCAGAGTGCGGAGTTTGCTGTCATAACGTCTGGGGAAAAGATGGCTGAGAGGAGACCTCCTCTGAGCTACCTGAGAGGAGTGGAAGGTTGGAGGTCACTTTTCTTGTGTGATAAGTAATAAGATGTGAGGAAAGTGCCTCAAGTTGCAGCAGGAGAGGTTTAGATTGGGTACGAGGGTGAATTTGTTCATGGAAGGGGGAGTTGGGCATTGGAGCGGGCTGCCAGGAGGCAGGGGAGACCTCATCTCTGGGGGCATCTCAGAGATGTGCGGATGTGGCAGAGCAGGACACGGCTTAGTGGTGGGGCTCAGCAGGCCAGACAGATGGTCGGGCTTGGTGATGTCGTAGTTCTTTTCCAGCCTAGGTGAGGAGCCGCAAACACGTTAGCGTGGCCAGAAAGAAGAGGCAGGAGGGCACCCGCAGCGCGCACGGACATCGGCACCTTCCCGCCCAACATCTCGGTTCCCGGGAAGCCGCTAACCGCGCTCGGATCCAGGACAACGCGAACGAAGCCCTCCGAAAACAAAAGGCCCCTCCCGCCGCAGCCCACTTCACTTACGGCGCGTCTCCGCCGCCGAGCCCCCCGCCAGCCGGGTCTGCGCCGCCGCCGCCGGGCCCGCACCAGCTGAGGACAGAATGGACACGCGTGAAGGTCGCGGCGCCCCGAGCCGCCACCGAGCGCCGCCCGCCCGTCCTCACCTCGCCGCGCGGCCCGCACCAGGCCCCGCGCCGCCGCCGCCAACATCCCGCCGCCGCCGCACGGACGGGCAAGGGCACGGACCGGAAGCGGAAGGACTCGCCGCCGCCAAGCTTCCCCCGGGAGCCGGAAGCGCGCGGGGACTGCTCGGCGGCGCTTCCGGGTGGAAGGCCGGAAGTGGCGAGTGCCTGGCGGCGCCTGGCGCAGGGTGAGGGGCGCGGGAGAGCCGCTGGGGCACCCCGGGGCGGCGGCGGCGGAGGGAGGCGCCGGGGCGGCGGCATGAAGGGAGGCGCCGCAGGTGGGTGTCGCGCCGGGCGGAGCGGGGCTGGGGCCTGCTGCGCTGCGCGGAGGGGAAGGCGGGGGGCTCGGGTGCGGAGTGCCGCAGCGCCGCACTCACCGTCCGGCGGCCGTGCTGTGCGCCTGCAGCGCTGCGTGGCCGTCAGCTTCCCAAAGATCGGCCTTCCCGTGTGTTTTCTGAGGCGCTACGTCTGCTGTAAATCCCACGTCCTTCCTCGTGGCCCGCAGCCGTTGCTGACGCTTCCCCGTGACGCGGCCCCAGCCCTGGGAGCTGCGTGGGCTGCGGGCAGCCCCTCCTGCCGTGGGTTTTGGGGCTGTTGGGTGCCTGAGTAGGAGCCCTGCGGGACGGGCTCGTACCTGCTAAAGCTGGAAGCTTGGCGCTGAGGGGTTCTGAGTCGTTTCCTCGGTTTCGCACAGCATAATGGATGGTGCATTCAGTCCGACGAGAATGCCGTAGAACAAAGAGGTCGTACTTAAGACGCACCGCTCGGGGTTGGGGGACCTGTCCAGCCCGTGAGGTGGAGGAACTGCCTCCAGTGAACAAAGCTTGAGTGAGGAATTAGGAGCTGTCCTGCACCAGCGGAGCTGCTGCAGGAACATGCGTGTTTGAAGGCATGGGAAAGTCATTAATCTCCTGGGAAGAGGTCATGTATTTGAGAAATCATGTATTGGAAGTTCAATATTAATCAGTTCAGTTTTGCTTTCAGTCAACATATTTGGATAGTTGAGGTGTAGAACTAGAGGGAACGCCCCTTTCTTACAGCAATCCTTAGCTGGGTCTGAAGCTTCTTCAACCCAGAACACTGCCAGTTATCTCTGTTGCCTACTCAGCAGTATTGCAGACTGAGTTCTCCTTGTCACTTGGGAATCAGTGACTAAAAGCATCTAGCAAGTCATTTTGCATGCTGAAAATCTGTGGCACACCAATGAATATGGCCATCAGTTACCTCATGTAGTTAGCTTGAAGGACTGGTGGTTGTGTCTGGCAGAGTTTTTGGTAAAAACAAAATCACATTACTTGGTGCACTGCAAAAATTCATCACGTTGTTTTTAGATGCTAATTAATTGTGCTCTTTGCAGTACGATACTTTAACCCCTTTCTCTCCCACCTAGCCCAGCTGCAGTAGTGTCACTTTCCCTGGCTTTGCAAGTATTTCTTTGTGTCAGTGAAATGAATTGTGGAAAGGTATGCAAATCTTCTGATTTTGCTGGGATGCTGTGCTCACTGGAAGTTTGGTATATATTATAATTTGAATCATTCCAACTTCTAATTTGTTTCAGTTGTTTTAGTTTCTGAAACTCCAGCAGAAGCTTCTGGCTGTGCTATTTATGTTCAGTCTCTGAAATATGCTGGCTGCTTACCAACACGCTTGGTTTTCCCTGTATTTTGAAGGATTGCATAACCTTGGTAGTGGAGGGAGAAAGCCTTATAATCATTGTGATTTCACAGATTGCTGGAGGTCTGATCTGTGTGGCACCATGGACTCGTCAGAAGAGACTGGAGGCTCCTCTGCTGAAGAGAACTACTTTGTTAACTACACCTTCACTGATCGCTCACACTCAGGCCGCGTGGCCCAGGGGATTATGAAACTATGTTTGGAGGATGAGCTCTTTGCTGATGTTACAATATCAGTGGAAGGCAAAGAATTCCAGCTGCACCGTTTGGTCCTCTCAGCTCAGAGCTGCTTTTTTCGTTCCATGTTCACTTCTAACCTGAAGGAGGCTCACAACCGGGTGATAGAGCTGCAGGACGTTAGTGAGAGTGTCTTTCAGCTCCTTGTGGACTATATTTACCATGGGACTGTAAAGCTGAGGGCCGAGGAGTTGCAGGAAACCTATGAAGTGGCAGATATGTACCAGCTGACTGCCCTTTTTGAAGAATGTTCCCGTTTTCTGGCCCGTACAGTGCAGGTCAGGAACTGTCTGCAGGTGATGTGGCTGGCAGACCAGCACAGTGACATGGAGCTCTACACGGCTGCCAAACACTGTGCAAAGTCACATTTGTCTCAGCTGCAAGACACAGAAGAGTTCCTGCACCTACCTCTTCGCCTACTGACAGACATCCTTACAGGTAAGGAGTCCTGGAGGCCAGCCATGACCTGCATCTGGGAAGAGACTTTGAGTCTGAGAGTCTAGTGGGGATAAAACAGATGGAAAGATACAAGCTTTCATAATCACTGTCTATTCAGAGGCTTAGCTAAGCAATGCAAAACAGTCTGGATAATTTAATCAGAAAAAAAAATCCACCATAAAATGTCAGTGGAAATGAAGGATCTTTGCTATAAAAAAAAGAGACGTAGAGAATGCTGCTAATTCTCAGCAGTTTCTGAGTCAACAGATCGAAAGTATGCCAGGTTTTTAAACATCACTTAGTAACTTTCAACATCATTTATTTTTGTTTGCATTAAAAATAAAACCAATAAGCCTTACAAAATAAACATCTTATGAGCATGTTTTTTTTTAAATTCTCATCATTTAACATTGCAGTGCAACAAGTCAACATTTTTAAGGCTTGAGCACACAGGTCATGTTTCTAGACTCTGTTAGTGTTATTAACAATTTTATATAATTACTAGGATTATTAAGGCTAGACACTCAACTGATTGACACAGAGGCATTGTAACATCTTAGGTAATACAGTAATTATCTGTCATGTAAATATAATGGATGCAGTGACTTAGTGTTGTGAAGGATGTGTCAGCACGATAACAACTTGCTGCATTCGGCACCAGTCCTTAAAGATTCTCTGCTGTCCTCATAGGTACAGGCAGTACATTAAAGCTGTTTCCTGATGCTTCAGTCACAACTCCATTTTTGTACATATCGTTAGAGGAAGCAAGAACAAAGAAACTCATACATTCAAATGTGCTGGACTTGGGTCCTCAGAGAGTATCCCTTTCTTGCTTTATCTAGAAAATAACTCTGTAAACAAGTAAAATAGTGTACTTTGTGTGTCAATGTTTTATGTGCTGATATAACAGTACACCTGCCATGATTGGCTTCTTTGGAATACTAACAAATCTGTCTTGCAAGACTTATCCTCTAAAGTTGAGTCTTTACAGATGTTGCAATGCAGTATTGCAGTATTTATTTTGCAATTAAAGGAATTCAGAGTCAAAAACCTGTTCAGAATGTGTACTGAGAGCTCAAAAATGATGATAAAACTAGGATAATTTTGGTAACTATCCCTAGCTACAGTTTTTAAACTAAGTTGTGACTTCATTAAAAACAAAATACTAAAATTATGAAATAAAGCTATAGAAATCTATCACCCTTTAACCCTTCCTCATAATGATTTCACATAGTAATCATAGTTCAAAGGTCTATGACCTTTAGTGTTTGTGGTCCTGAAGTAAAATAATTGCTTAAGAATTTTTTTCCATGTCATTTATTTTCATATATAGATTCATGTCACTCAGTTTTTATGGTTAAACTTAGCTCATGAAAATGGATTAAGAGCTGAAATACACTCTCACTGCTGGTAGGGAAGAACTTCTGCAATTGTTTAGTCAATGTACAATTAAATAGAAGTTATTACTAGCAAGGATTAAAATAAATGTCATTAGATAGTAAGTTGTTAAGCTTACCTTTTTTTGTGCCCCATGGTCAGTTTTAAACTCCAAATTTTTCCATTTAACCACTACATTGAACAGACAGCTTACAGAAATGCCTTTTACTGTTGAATAGAGTCAAAATACCTGCTTTTCTTCCTCCCTTTTCCTCAATCCTTTCAGTGGGGAGAAAAAGAGTTAGTTGGAATTTGTAGGATGCCTTCAGCATGTCTGAATTCAGGGCTTGTTGTGACAGCAAATTACAAAGTGAGAGGAGCCTTTAAAAGGGAAGCCGCTTAATGAACACAGACTTGATTGTGTTAGAGCAGCTAGCTGACTTTCAGACTACAAGGAGATACTTTTGAAGTAATATGTTGATGGTGATGATGCAGTAGTCTGTGGCATAACAAACCTTTAGTTATGCCTGGAAACTGGTAGAAATCTGATGCAGTCTGTTACGCTAAGTGTCACACTGCTAAAGAAAGCTATAGCAGCTCACAGGGGATTTCCAAACGTTAACAGGATAGCAGTGACAGAGATATTCTCTGAACACTGTCAGAGAGCTGATCCTCAAGACTGAACAATTCCTGCAGATGACTTTTGCTTGATGAGTTTCTAGGACCAGTCAGTGATTCAAGAAATGCAAATGCTGAGAATTTTAATTAAGAGAATTTTTATGCCTAAATGCTTAATTAAGATAATGTTTTTCATAGTCACAAGGCAGTGTAGGGCCTCTTCCCTGCTCTCTTCCTCTTACACATAAGTTCTTGTCCAAATTTATCTAAAATGCTTTAGATTTGCCAGCTCTATCTCCTGATACTTAAACAAGGAAACTTCATGTAGTTGCCAGGCTGGCATTACTGATCATGCCTGCCAAAATGTATGAACTTCTGTATTTTTTTCCTTTCTCTAGAAGGTAGGGCTTGTTTTGGGAGGGGGTTGAAGGAGTTGCAGGAAAAGATGTTCCTCGGTACCTATGTCTAGATACCATAAGTTCCTTTCTGTCCCCAAACCACAGATGGCGTTCCATGTTCTCAGAATCCAACGGCTGCCATAGAAACCTGGATCAACTTCAACAAGGAGGAGCGTGCAGGCTTTTCAGAGACTCTGCGATCAAGTTTGAAGGTATAAAAAGACCTTCTTTTCCAGGCTGACGTTTAGTAGTTCTGCACTTTCCAAGGCAGGGTATATTCTGCTCACAGGTGTGATTGAAAGTTACAAAACACAAATGCCATTGAAATTCATTGTGTTTGCATGAGGAATACTTTCATTGTTATAAATGGCAACCCCACTAACTGCTTTTTTTTTTTTAATTTTAACCTGAGGTAGCTTTTACTGGTGGTTAGAGTGTTGCCACAAATAACTCCTTTTACCAGATGCTCAGTTGTTTGAAAGACCATTGAGAAATTTTAGTTTGGCATTCTCTTTGTTATAGTTACTCCATCAGCGATGTGACCATCCTTTCGCTCAACTGCAGCCACAAAGATTCCAGTGAAGTCTGTTGATAACTTTGCTGTGTCAGATATGAGTGCATGCCCTAGGGTAGCATGGCTTGGCAAGCAGAGTGCATGCCTCAGGCTCATAGGTGGGTTCTGAAATGCTGATAAAAATCAGTCTTAGGCATCACTGATGTTCGTGTAAACAGGCCTAGTTCTAGTAAGACTGACAAATTCCTCATTTCTTAGGTGATTGGAGAAAATGTTCACATCTACCTGATTGGAAAGGAGTCATCACGAACACATTCACTTGCTGTCTCTCTGCATTGTGCTGATGATGACTCCATCAGTGTGAGTGGCCAGAACAGCCTGTGTCACCAGATCACAGCAGCTTGCAAGCACGGTAGTGACCTATATGTTGTTGGTGGCTCCATTCCACGCCGCATGTGGAAATGCAACAATGCAACTATAGACTGGGAATGGTGTGCCCCTCTGCCCCGTGACCGGCTCCAGCACACTCTTGTCTCCGTGCCAAGCAAGGATGCAATATACTCCCTGGGGGGCAAAACTCTGCAAGACACTCTCTCTAATGCTGTCATATATTACAGAGTACGAGACAATGTCTGGACAGAGACCAGCCAGTTGGAGGTGGCTGTCTCTGGGGCTGCAGGTGTAAATCTTAATGGTGTCATTTACCTGCTGGGCGGGGAGGAAAATGACTTGGACTTCTTCACCAAGCCGTCTCGGCTTATTCAGTGCTATGATACCAACACAGAGAAATGCCACGTGAAGCCATATGTACTGCCTTTTGCAGGGCGCATGCATGCTGCTGTACACAAGGATGTGGTGTTCATTGTAGCTGAGGGGGATTCGCTGCTTTGCTATAATCCCTTGCTGGATAGCTTCACTCGGCTGTGCCTGCCAGATGCCTGGAGCTCAGTACCATCCCTCTGGAAGATTGCCAGCTGCAATGGCAGCATCTACGTTTTTCGAGACCGCTATAAAAAGGGCGATGCAAATACTTTTAAACTTAACCCAGCCACCTCTGTTGTAACAGTCACAAGTGGCATCAAAGTGCTGCTCACTAACCTGCAGTTTGTCCTGGCCTAATGGGAAAGAACAGGCAGTGATGGTGTTCTGCTGCGCAGCTCAGAGGTACCCACCACCCTCAGCACCAGTCCCAATTACTACAAGCTCACAATATCCAGTAAAGAGCCCATCTGTACAGAGGAAGTACAGGCCTGGTCTTTTAGATAGCACTATAAAGCTGAACTGATGCATCTTAGATTTCAGATGGACTAAATGCTATTACTGTGATCCCCTTGATGATAAGCTGCTTGTGTTTGAGGCCCAAACCACAGCAAGTGGCTTTTTTAGCTTGGAACCCGTCCACAAATCCTATAGCATATGGAGGACATCCTTCTTGGCACAGACGGTAAGTTTTAACTGCCTGGGAGACTATGTGTTACTGCCTTTGTCAGTCACAGTTTTAGATTTGTGCTGCCTGTCCTCCAGGGATGCCCCCACTTAAACGTTCCTGTGTCGCTACTGCAGGAGGGGCTGGCAGAAATATTTACAGCAGACAGATTCCAGAGCTGACCCCAAGTAGGTTGCATTATTCAAGCACTACTCCTAGAGGAGTGGTAACAAAGTGGGAATTTGCTTATTGTGTCATCACCAAGCATAAAGAAGGAGATTGTTCTTAGGAGCACTGGCTTCCTTTACTGTACAGGAACTTCCCACCTGTAACCATAACATACTATTGGTAAAAGATGGAATTAAGACCACTTCCTCCTACCCCCCTCTGTTGGCACTGTAACCCCTTGGGTAAGAATCTGAATAAAGTCTCTGCTGAGACAAAGTTTTCTTTTCTTGGCTGCAAGTATTACAAAGCCTTCCATGGATTGTGGTTCAGCCCAGCACTCGTGTGGGTGAGAATGATAGCACTCCAAGAAAAAAGCGGCCATAAGGAGAAAAAGTTACAATGAAACAGTCCAAACTCTTCTTTACCATAATTTATGTAAAAATTTCTTTATTGAGGGTCAAGAAGTACAATGCTTAAAAGAGCTGAGACTGAGATTTTGGTAGTTCTCACTGACACTCTGCAGTTGTCCCAGCAGTAACATCCTTGTGAAAACTCTCCAGGACCTGGACTTGTTTACGCCGAATAAGGATGTGGGGACGGATCTTGGCAATAGCCTCTATTGCCTCCTGTGGGCTCCAGTGATGCAGCTGAAAAGGCAGAAACCCTGAAAGTGAAAATCCATTCTGTCCTTGCACCAGTTAAGGGAGCCCCCTCTGGATGCTACAGGCAATGTTAGTGCTGTTAAAGAACTGGCATCTTTATCCCTTCTGTTTACTTAAACTTCCTCAGAAGGGCCTGAATCTCAGTGCAGTTTCATGAAGAGTTCCTCAGTTAAGGAGGGATTGGATGGTTGCTGCCGAGGACCTGCACTGCCTATCTCATTCAGAATTCCTACATGTTGTGAATAGTTTCATGTCCCAGTCCCACCAGACCAGAAAGAAAGGGAAGTGTTTTATTAAAACATTACTGTTGCCCAGGTACTTAAGGAATCAGTGCATCACTACAGAAAGATTTTCCAAGGAGCATTCAGCAGCACCATCAGTAGGATCCATACATGGGATTTTGTTTTCAGTGCCAACCCAGTTAGTTCTGCAGAGAACTCAGAAAGCTAGTGCTACTTCCCTTGATCCTGAGTTATATTTACCAAGAAGCGTAGAAAGGCTCACCATTTCAGACAGCCAAGAAAAAGGTCTGAACAACAAAAACAGATGATTATCTGCTCAGTGAACCTGGAATCAATTAAGAATCTCAGAATCTCTCAAAACCTGCTCAGAACTTGCTATATTAATGGCCCAGCACTCCAAAGAGCTTCTTGAAATCTGACTACTTTGCCAGAGCCACTACAGATAGCACCGTATCACACGTTTCAGAGCTCTGGCACAACAGCGGTTTCCAGTAAAATCAGGCCATCTTTGCCAGTGCTAATAACTTGTGCCATAAGTGCAGGCAGGCGAGGGATACAAAGATAAATGAGATCATCAAAGAAAGCTTAGACCGCTGCTCAGCAAATCTAAGCGTACCTGTTCATTTCCCCTACGTTTGCCGGGTTCTACAAAGCAGACAACAGCTTGAGTTTGGGGCTTTGCTGTCTGCCTCTCTTGAAATGGGTGTCTATTCCAAACTCTAAAATCGTGCAATACGAACGCAGCAGTGCTCGCTCAGGTGTTTCTCGAGCTGTGCTTGCACACGGTCAATGAAAACCAACCCCATTCAGCAGAGAGCTCTCCTTACTCGGATCAAATAGGCCGCCACCACGGTGGCGCTGCGGGAGCGCCCCGCCTTGCAGTGCACGTAGACGCTGTTACCGCGCTCGCGGTGCTTCAGGATGAACTCGACGCCCTCGTGCAGGTTTTCCAAGGTGGGGACTCCGGTCAGATCCACGGTGCCGAGGCGCAGCTGCTCTACTCCCAGCGCCTCCCACTCCTGCAACGAGCGGCACATTCACCCGCGTGAACCCCGGCTCGCGCCCTCGAGAAAGAACACCCGGAGCCTAGCGAGACACCGACGAGACATCCCCCCGCCCGCCGTCCCGTTCCCACCCTAATCGCCGCTCCCCGGTCCGCCACGAGGCCGAGCGGAGCCCACCTGCGCGGAGCAGCAGAGGAAGCGGGTCTCGTACTCCTCGTTCAGGGTGAGGACGGCGCGCACGTTCTCCTCGGCCACCAGCTGCGGGCACAGCCACCGTCAGGCACCGCCGGGCTCCTGCGGCCCGCCCCGCCGCGCCCCCTTACCCTACGGCTGCGGCCCCGCAGCGGCAGCGCTCCCAGCAGCACGGCGCGGTCGATGCGGTGGAACCAGGGCCGGCGGGAGGCGGGCAGCTGCGCCCGCAGCGCCGTGTACAGCAGCGTCGGGTAGAAGAGCAGCCGCGCCGCCCCGGCGCCCAGAGCCGCCGCCACCCCCATCGCGGCCGGGCGGGCGGGCGGGCGCACGGCCGGGGAGCGCGCGGGGGAGCGCGGCGGTGTCGCACGGAGCGCGGCAGGGCGGTCCCAGGGCTGAGGGAAGCGGCCGGCTCCAGCCTCCCCCCGCCTCGCGCCCGGTGTGGTCTCTCCCGGAAGCGCCGCCATCTTGCGGAGCCGGCCTGAGGCGGCGCAGGGAGCTGAGCGGCTGCGGGTGGGTCTCCGGGGGCAGGTGAGGGCGGCGGCCGGCAGGAGGAGCTCGGGCCGGGCCGGGCCGGGCAGGAGCGGCGTGGAGTCCGCGGAGAGCGCGACCCGCCTCGCGCAGGTAACGGCCGCCTTCCCGCCCCGCTCCCCGGGCGCTCGGTCCCCGGCCCGCCCGTACCGGGCCGCGGCGGCGGCCTCCGCAGACGCGCCTCGCTCCCCCCCGCCCGCTTCCCCGCACCGCACGGGGGATCGGGCCCGCGGGGGCCGCCCGCCGCCTCCTTCCGCGCGCCGCCCTGAGCTTCTGGCGGCCCCGCCGCGCTCCGGGCCTCTGGAGGCCGCCGGCCGTCGTCCGCGAACCGAGCGGTGACAGCGCCTCGGGCCGCGGGGCGGCGGCGGCGGGGGGCGCTGCGGCTGCGAGTGCGGCCCGGGGCGGCGGCGCCGGTGGGGGGCGGGAGAGCGGCGGCGCGGCCGGGGCGCCGGGCGGCATGGGGCCCTAGTGAGCGGCGCCGGAGCTGTGCCGGGAGCGGGTTCGTGCTCTGGGGCCGGTGAGGGGGGAGGCGGGTTGGGTGGGGGTGAGTACGGGGCTGCGGGTTATCGCCGTGCGAGGCGTGCAGCCTCAGGGGAGTGGTGGTGGACGCCGTTGGAGCAAAATATAAAAAGCAGGAGAGGCCGATCGTAAAGTGGATGGTAAACACGTGTCGGAGCAATAAAGGTTAATAAGAGCGTGAGATTTTTATAGGACTGTTTACGAGGAGGAAGCAGGGAGGCTGCGTTATAATAAAGCACGGAACCTTTACTCCTGCGAATTCCCGAGGATTCGTGGCTCGGACGTTCTCACCTTCAAGGCACGGACGTTCTTTCTGCCAGAAGTCGTCAGTGCATTTTTCAAATGCTGCAGCTTTCTCCCGTTGTACCGCTTCAGTGTGCTCCTGGGGTGTGTTTCGACAGGAGCTTGCTTGATCTAGAAGAAAACTTGGTGGAGATATTCACCTTAAAACATGCTTTGCTTCTGATCTGCTAGAGCTTGGCCTTCCTGAGCATCTTGATTTATTTTTTGTTTTTTTGCTTGTGTTTGTCTGTTGCGTCAGGCTTAGATCTTTGAACTAGCAGTCACGATAATTGCTGAATAACCTCCTAGTGCCTTTAGCTGTCTTTTCTATTGCTGTTTTTTATAGCATAGCTCATCAGCTAGATTAAAATGCTGCAGTGGCACCACGTGTCCATAATAAACTTTTTTTCCTTCATTCCCCTTAGCTGTGTTCTTGGGAGCTCTGTGCAACGTGAGGTATCTGTACCCAAGTCTGTAAGAGGCAGCTTTACTGGAAATAATATTGCTGTTTAAAAATCCTTATACCTTTACTTTGATATAGGAAATGGGAAGGTGGGTGCAGTGTGCATCCAGCAGCTGTATGTCCTATTGCATCTCTGCTGATGAGGAGACCACTGGGTACGGGCAGAATTTATATGTCTGTTCCAGGACCTGCCTGCACCTCTATATGCCAGCAGAAGCCTTAAGTAGGGATAATGTGAGATTTGCTATTGAAGCAGCTGCGATTGTCCAATGTTGTCAGATATGGCTTAGCATTCTTGTTTATCAGACTTGACCTGAGTTTCTTAATGCTTTACTACAATCTAAGCATTTTTAATATTGCTTCTTGTCTTTTAGTGTACCATTCCCCAGGAGTTTTGCAGATGTTTGTTGCCTTGGTAACTGCCCTTAGATGAGAAGTACCATTTTAATCTATTGGTCAGTTATCTGGGGAGGAAAAAAACCCACAAAACACAACAGTATAAATCAAAGCAAAATAAAATACTAAATTGTTTATTGGAATGGGAGTTGTAAATTAAGAAAAGTTACGTGGGCCCTCTAATGATATTTCCCTTGAGGGTTTGCAACACAGTATCTTGAATTGTTATCCTATTGCCAGATTTTCTTGAGGCAGGAGAGAGGCTTTGATGGAAGAAGTATCCAGCAGTCTTAATGTACTTCATCTTGACACAGAGCTGCCTGTGTTACATGGAAAAATGCCAGATACCACCTCTTCTGTTTTCACTTGATTGTCCTGCCAAGATGCTTTGTGTTTGGGGCATAACAGTGAAAAAAGAGCCTTTCAGCATTTGCACTTCCAGGAATTCCCAGATGCCATTTAAACATCATCCTGTTCACACTTGATCCAAGCACATAAAGGTAAAATATACATTAGAGGCAGGAGATCTGGATAGGACAAAGGAGAAAATGTAAACTGCTTTAAAGCCATGGGGCAGATAAATCTGCAAAGACTTGCTGTAGGGTTGAATAGCTCACAGCTCTGAACTGTGGTAGACAGAGCAGGCGTGTTTGTTTATGACAGCAATCTAAAGAGGCATGGTTGTCATCTCAGGTAAAGGAAGTCTTTCTGACATCTTGATAAGCATGGAACTTTCAGCCATTTTAGCTCCATGTGTTGCAGAAGAAAGAACATTACTCTCCATTCACCCTGAATTCAGCCAGCAACAGAGGAGCAAGTAATGAAGACCCCAAGCTGAGCAGGCATCTTCATTAAACTCAGAAAAGAATTTCAGTTTTGGAGGTAGTTTGTGTGAGTTTATGTACTTTGTGAAAGCTTTATCTCGGAACTAGAATCATGGTCCATGAGCTGTCTTCTCTGTCCCGTGTGCACATGTTGTTGTACTGTCTTCAGTCTTCTCAGTATGTTGTGGTCTGTTTTTTAATTTGCATTGGCCATTTTACTGGTGGCCTTGCTGGAGGCAGAGTGCTAGTGGCAACCTGCACATTTTGGTAGCCAGTCTGTACTGTTGTAGACTTATAACAAATGCAGTGACTTGATGTGATATCTTTAGACTAAGATGATACAAAGTAGTCTTAGAATTACCTGTTAGATTACATATGCTGGTTAAAATTAGTTGTAGATGTGATTTGGAATAGCTGGTTTAGATATTGCAGGCAAATGAGTAGGCACTTTGGGCTCTTTATCCTTGTCAGCAGCACATCTTGAGGAGGTCTTAAGTGAGGATGTGAATGAGAGGATGAGTGGTTGCTGAGTGTGCACTGTGTCATGCTGGTACATAGCAGGCTTCCCTTTGCAGAGAAATGTTTCTCTGTAGTTGCACACTGTGTTCTCTCAGAACCAATTTCTTTCTTGATTGTTAGAAAAACTCAGCCGAAGTTCCGGAATGCCTTGTATCGTTTTTAGTTGAAATTAATTTGAGTTTTTCAGAACCTTGGTCTGAAAATAGGTCTCTGTGGTAGCTTTCACTTCTGTCTGCAGGCTGTTTTGTACTATGCCTTTCATAATAATAACGTAGTTCTTATTTGCTAGATTTCAGCATGTGTAATACATGTCAAAGTAAATCCGTCATTCTTCAAACGTCTTATTTAAAATTCAGTTTTTCACTGCATCCATAAATATTCTTTTCTATTTTTCACTCAAACTGTGTGGTTCAAAAGCAATTGCAGCACATATATATTGGTGATACCCACAGATCCTTCAGAATCAGTTGGCTTTCCAAATGAAGTTTCGTGCCTGTTTTCCCAAACCAGAGGAGATGGTTATTTATCAAGTCTGTAACTGAAGTATCTGGCATTGTTCAAGTCCACATACAAAAGTGATAGCATCTTGCTCAACTTACTCTAGAGATTTGCAGGATGGATAGCAAGCATCCTAATACCTGCAAACATTTACAAAGTAAAGCTTTGAATGCTTCTTCCTATGGGAAAGCAGTGAAATAATGATCTTTCAGGAACAGAAATATTTTGAATGTCATCTCTAGGTCTTGCAATTCCCATAGGCAAAACAGTGTGAAGGAAACTCTTCTCTCATTGATAGTGCTGGATTCCCTTGTAGATCGCTGTCTTAAAATCTTTCTGCCACCTCAGCTGTATCTGCTCATTATTTACCGTCCACAAATTCCTGTTTTCTATTTAAGCTTCTAAATAATAATTAAAAAAAAAAAAGAAGTCTTGCGACAACTTGACTTAGTGAAGAATTGCATTTCTTCTGTGTATTGTCTTGCCTGTCTTTGTGTTATGACTGCAGAGTGCTTAGCACGATTCCTGAGTGGAACAATGAAGAGTCCTTGCACAGTCAAAAGAGCTGTTAGGATTTACCGTTGGGAATGATCAATGTGTAAAGTCTTCAGAGAAGGGATTGCATATTTACTTCAGGGGTTTTGACTGCTCAGAAGTTTGTGTGAGTGCATTTCTGGTTCTGTGGTACTACATTCCTAGTGTAGCTGAAAGTTACAGCTTACACTTACTCAGATGAGAAAACTTTTCTGCTAGAATTTCTAACTTAGTTACTTACACCACATAAAATATGTGATACAATAAATAAAAGAAACGGGCAGCAGCACAGGGAGAAAAGGTTCAAAAAGACTGCTGTAATTAGGTTTGGGGTTAAAAATGCCAAGTGTGTGTGTGCTTCCAAAACCAACACAGGAGACCTGGCCAGTTCAGCAGTTCTTGAAATGCTGGTAAATGTGGGGATTCCCTGGAAGGAAGGTTTTTGTCTCTCTTCCAAGTTGCTGCCAAATTCTGTTCGGTGAAGAAGAGCATTGGTAGTTTCTGTGTTGCGGTGGACTTCAGCAAAGTGAACTTGGACTCATTTCAAAACAGTGATGACTCCTTTAAGTTTGTACGCTTCAATGTTTTCTTCCCCTACACAGCATGTAGTGTGTGTGCGTGTGTGGAGGAACTTGTCTTAGCCATGGGCTCTGTCGGAGACCATGTATGGGTAAAGCACTTGGGCCAGTTCAGCTCCCTGCTCCTCCCTCCTGGAGAGCAGAGCAGAATCCCTTCTGCTGAAATGCTTGTTC